TCGGTTTCGGCTTCGGCCGAAATTCATTTTTAACTTTCGGCCTTTTTTCGGTTTCGGCCGAAAGTCATTTTTAAACTTTCGGTCTTTTTTCGGTTTCGGCCGAAAGTCATTTTAAACTTTCGGCCTATTTTCGGCTTCGGCCGAAATCAGAAAATCACTTTCGGTCGGTCTCTACCCTTCCCCTTAAAATACTACACTGACCCCAGAGGTTGTGTACAATAATAAATTAGCCCTGAAATAACTTTAAGCGGAGATGTGCCGGAATCGCGTGACATTTATTTCAGATTCATGTTTGTGAGAGAGCCGTACAGTCGCCTGTGGTCAGCTTGGATTGATAAATTCTGGCTGCCGGACTTTTGGATGTTGGAGGCGACCAGGTTGGGCGAAGCCTTAAACCTCACTCGTAGGTACAATTTTTTTTACCTTAAACCTCATTCAAAGGTTACGATTCATACCTTAAGCTTCATACGTAGGTTACAATTTATACTTTAAACATGACTCAAAGTTACGAGTCATATCTTAAACCTCACTCGTTGGTACAATTCATACCTTACCTTACTTGTAGGTAAAATTCATAGCATAAACCTCACTCGTTTATGCGATTCATACCTTAAACTTCACTCGTCGGTACAATTCATAACCTAAACCTCACTCGTAGGTACAATTCGTACCTTAAACGTCAAGCGAACGTACAATGCACGGTTGATTTTTAAAAAAAAATTGTTTGGTGCCGATCGCAGAGATGCTGAGTCATAGACTCATTTCAATCTTGATTAAAACAATTAATACAACACTATTAACTTGAGTTCACCGCTTCCGTTCACCGGAACGATTTGCATAGTACACTGTATTATTTTTTTTTTACTGTTTGATTATTTTAATTAAAAAGTGTAACAAATCTTCAACAGGTGAATTCGTTTCGTGTCCCAAGAATATCACATTTCCGTTGTTCTTAAGGTAAACTTTTTTTTTTTTTTAAATCTGCTGGTTTAATATAGATCTTTATTTCATTTAAACTTAGCTTCAAAAAAAACAACAACACACACACAAGCCACAACATCAACAACTCATTGATGGTCCCGCAACACAAAACTTACGCATTTGTTGGTGTTCTTTTTCATTCACGTACATGTATCAACCACCACTATTTAAAAAGGTTTTGTTCTTTTATCCTCGCGTTTTAGCTGGTGCCCCCTCCTCTCCCCCCCCCCTCCTAATACTCACGCACACCTAACATTCAAAATCTCTTTCCGCATCGCATTTGGTCACTTTGAAATTATTTACCTTAAACATTATCAGTACGACCAAGAGAAAACCACACAAAAAAACTTAAGATAAAAAAAAAGTTTGACTCTCTAAGCCCTAAGTTATACATTAGGAATCGAGATTTTTTCTAGCTTTAGGATAAAAATGAACAGGGCTCAAGTTTTACGGGAACGCTTGGGAACGGCGTTCATATACCTTTTTTTAAAATGAGAATTATACACTTATTTTGGAGGGGTGAATTAACACATTTTTTTCCCCCAGGACATGACCCTTGAAAATAACACTGCTCATTTCCTGTTACCATACATATTATGCGGGGGGGGGGGGGGGCGGTGAGCACTGCCTTCGTTAACCAAATAAATTCCCGAGTCTCACATTTCATTGAACATTCACAGATACATCACGCTACCACGTGATCCGATGAAACTGAACCAACACTGCGCGCCTTACAAACACCTGTGCGACCCCTGCTTGTTCCGGCCGCACGTCATAGGCAAGCTCGAGACATTCACACGCGACTCCAGGTGTGTGTGAGCAGCAGGCCAAGGGGCGCGCATTGTTCACGTTGAGTTAGAGATGAGTTTAAAAAAAATAGAAGGGACGGTTTCATTTTCTCCAAAGTGCATCGCGCGGCTTCGGAGCGGCACATCGCCGATCACTTACCTTAAACCTTACGCCCCAGCCCCCCCCCCCCACCGACTACCTGCGTGTGCACACTAAATGGCAATAATGAAACATATATTTCGAATGTGTTACTTACGTGTTTCTTCCCTTGATTGAGATCTAAAATAACTGGTATGGTATTTACAACGCTTAGACGGGTTGATGGTGTTTTGTTTTTGTTTGTTTGTTGTTGAAACAAAAAAAAAAATTTTTTTTTTGTTTTTTTTTTTTTTTGGGGGGGGGGGGGCAAGCCATGTTGGCTGGACCTGGAGAATAAAGCATGCAGTTGAAAGGAAATAATTCCCCATTTAAAAGGGCCCAGTAGGAAAAGTACTTACTGGCATTTTTGCAGTTTTCGGGTCCGAATAGCGGCGATGCGTGTCCGGGTCCATCTTGACTAAATCCTATTCGGATATCATTTGTGGTAGTTTATTTTAGTTCAACTGAAGACTTAAGTTTACAAACCTATAGTCCATTCAATGATCTTTCATTCGATACCAAATGTTATCCTACAAACCCAATAATAAAATTGTAAACATTTTTTCATCCCAAACTCTCACTTCTGGGTATCCGGGTCCGAATAGCCACTTCGGTTTTTTTCAAGTCTTAGTTAAATACCTTATAAGCTGCTCGAGGTAACTCTAAATTATACACTCATGTACAGTTCTCATGAACGATGTGTACAGGAATGATGCAGGAGAAGTAAGGCCGGTTTTAACCCATTTTAAAAAAAAATTGTAACACAAGGACCTTTTTTTTTAAACTCGACACTTCAATTAGCTGTAAATGTCCCATACCTATTAGCACGAAATCAATGCTTCTGTTGGCATGTGTACGCTGGTGGGCGACTCGGGCACATTCTAACACACCAGAAGCAGCGTCAGTAGGCCTCATAAAGATGGCGTAAAACACCGAAATAATGCGACATCGCTTTCAACGATTTCTATTTGTATGGACCCCAACGATTGCATTTTAGCGGGGTTCCACTGTAGGACTTTTCAGATCAAATCAGAGACCAAAAAATAAACTAATTTAAGAACCAATTTTAAAAAAAATTCTTTAAAAAGATTTTAAGACATCAGAGCGCCGTAAGCATGCTTAAATAGCATGGACACAAGTGCTATAGAAGTACTTAATCATTATCATCATCTGTTAAGATTACTGTAAAGACAAAGACATATATTTTTTTTTGGATGTCATGTCAAAAGGTTTCATTTTGTATGTGTGCACATTTCAGAATTATCTTAGATGCCGTCAACCTGACGTGGGTTTTAAATCCACCTGGGCGACAGTCAACCAACTTAACCGAAGAGCAAGGCGTGGAAGCAAGCGACAGATCACTGCAGGAGATATCCATGTTGACAGCTTATAACCTGGAGACATGGCTCTTGAGGGGGCGCACAATTCAGGTAATGTAGACAATAAGGGGGACCAAAAATTGGTATTATGTACCTAGAATGACTCAAATACAGGTAATCTATAATCCACAAGGGTACTGTCAAAAAGAATTAATCTGGACAACGAGGCATTAAAAAAAAAAAGGTAATATGGATATCTATAGGCCCCACAGTATAGGTAATGTGGCGTGATGACATCAGGCTAGACCATAACACATTTCATTAACCACGCTGTAGTAAACATAACTTGCTATTACCCCAACATCACCACCCAACCGACCCCCGACATACACACGTCTTGTTACAAGGTTTTAGTTGAAGTTATGCCTCGTCTACTGTCATCCTTGACCTTAGTCATAGACCACTTCCAAGGGGTCACCAAAACGTCGCAAAAAATCATCCCCTACCTCCCCCCTCCCCAATCTTTTTTTCTATTGAGCTAAACTTACGGTAATAGTTTCCACGCATGCGCAATGTATTTAACTGATGACGATTAACATCATGATTGAGGCAAGTCATTGATGCACCCCCCAACCTTTGAGCTATGCCATGTTAGAACCAAAGGCACGCGTTCTTTGTAATCTCATCAAGTTGTGATAACAATTCGGTACCTGCTTGCAGACCCTCATGCAGTGATTATTTCAGAAATTCCACCCCCCCCCCCACCCCGGAGGGGGGCACTTCAGATTTTTCCGGGGGGGGGGGCAGTGCCAGTTGATTTATTGTTGGACATATTTTTACTCCGGGGGAGGGCACATGGCTTTCCCAGGGGGTAGTGCCTCGGAGATGTGGCTGAAAGCCGGTGAACATTTACATCGTGAGTTTTTAAATCAATCGATTCCTGTCGTTTCATTCTCATACATTTTAAAACTGAATTTAAATTGTATTGCATGAAATCATGTCGATCTCTGATCAATCTTATTGAAATTGGCAAGTATGATCATTGCGTTTTGCCACTACGAGTCTCCAAGCGGACATGCGGTGGCAATTTTTGCCATTTATTGATCCAAAAACTTCATCCCATCTTAAACATGGTGAATTGATTTTGGATAGTTGTTATCCCACGCAGATCATCAATAAGATGAAGGAATATAATATATTAATATACGTATTATTTTATCAAAGATGCATCGCTGGCTTCGACGATGTCATATTCCAAAAATTGACATCTCCATACGCTACTCCAGAGCATCTATGAAAGATTTCTTTATGGTGGGACCTCCTCAACTTAGTAGTGTTCAGATGTTTAGAGCTCTTCAGGCACTGATCCTAGAACCTGAAGTCAGGTTTTCGCTTACACGAATATGTATGGCCAAAGAACAAAATTTAATAAATAAATCAGGCACAACTACCTGGTTCATTTTTAAAACCTGTCCACTTTTCCGTTTGTCCACTGGTCCAGTTGTCCACTGGCCATTTGTTCACTGGTCCACTTGTTCACTGGTCCCTTTGTCCATTTATTCACGGGTCCACTTGTCAACTCGTACATTTGTCCATTTGTCCTTTGTTCCACTTGTTCGCTGGTCCACTTGTCCATTTGTCCACTTCTCAACTCGTCTACTTGTCCATTTGTCCTCTGATCCACTTGTTCACTGGTCCACTTGTCAACTCGTCCATTAGTTCACTGGTTCCATTTTTAATTCGTTCACTTGTTCATTTTCCCATTGGTCCACTTTCCAAAGGTCCACTTGTCAACTCGTCCACTTGTCCACTTGTCAACTCGTACATTTGTCCATTGGTCCACTTGTCAACTCGTCCACTTGTCAACTCGTCCACTTGTCAACTCGTACTTTTATCCACTGGTCCACTTGTCAACTCGTCCATTAGTTCACTGGTTCCATTTTTAACTCGTTCACTTGTTCATTTTTCCATTGGTCGACTTTTCCAAAGGTCCACTTGTCAACTCGTCCACGTGTCCACTTGTCAACTCGTACATTTGTCCATTGGTCCACTTGTCAACTCGTCCACTGGTCCACTTGTCAACTCGTCCACTTGTTCACTGGTCAACTTGTCAACTCGTACATTTGTCCATTGGTCCATTTGTCAACTCGTACATTTGTCTACTGGTGCGTCAAACTTGGAATTAGGAAAACGCTGAGCTAAACAATACTCGGGCCAGTGACGTCATTCATCCATGTTATACAGCTTTTACTTTAAAAAAAACTATTTCAAGGACGCCAATGAGTTTAAACTATTTTTTTTTTTTGGTTTACACAAAAAATTTGTAGTAACGTTATAATTTGGTTTTAACGAACTTTTATCGACAATTATTTCTGACAGTTAGATCTATTTCCGACAGTTATTTCCGAAAATTATTTTTCGACAGTTATTTCGGGCAACTTTTACGGGCAGCTACTCCCAACTATGACTTTGTCTAAATTATCGAACTTGATGGTTATCGGGTTAAGATGGTTTATGTTTGAATTCTTTTAAAATAAAAGTGCTCACGTCAAGTCTAAAATCCAACAAGCTTCTAATTAGACTCTGAACAATAATTATGAAACCGAATTTGAACATGTCATTTCATACTTCATGCATTCAGATTGTGTTTGAAAATTCTTTTCTTATCCCCCCCAGGCGTGTTTTCCTAAGAATGAGCTGTACCAACGCCTCTGGAAGGCCTTCCAGTACAACGGTCACCTGCCCGCTGATGTGGGCATTCCCTCACAGTTCCTCCAAGGAGGAAACACTACGGAGCACGAGTTTCTGGACGCATGCCACGAGACGTATCGGGCCTGGAATGCGACGGGTAAAACTGGGATGAGAGATCAGAAAAGGGCCGCCCTTGTGGCTAATTACAGGGGCGTGCCATCAGACATCATGGAAAAGTTGAGAAAGCTGTACGCCCCTGATTTCGAAATGTTCGGTTATGACGAACATCCGGCAGATCTCTTTGATGGTAGATCCGCCAGATAGCAGGGACTCTCAATCAATGTAGCACATCGGCCACATAGTCGTCGAAGTTTGTTCGTAGTTAATTTCAGTACGTACAAATATGTATTGGTTTTGCTTTCAAAGATGACGATTGGATTTAAGTGTAATTCATGCACTTGTTTTCAGATCATGGTACACATTCAGTATAATCAGTATAATCAGTATAAACTGAGTACGGGTAGCAAGTGAACTGACCGTGTATGCTTTGCACAGCTTAAAATTTTATCAAGCAGTGCTTCTATGAATAGTAAGGTGACGAGTGAATTGCTTAACGCAGATATATAATGGATTGAGTGGACTTATTTACACCTACATTTGGCCTGAGTTTTTTCGAACTACAAAATCGAAAGTTGATTTTGCGATGTGACTAATTTGCTGAAATGAATTTATTGAAATGTTTTACAACTAACATTTGAGGCTGTGAGTTTACAACAGCGAACGATTGATGGTGTGATTTTTTTTTTTTTACAGCAGACTTGAATTAATTATGTAAACTTATGTACTCGTAAACGGATGATTCCGTGAGATTGTGTACAAGTGTATGGGCTAAAAATAATAATACAAAATAGTCATGATTTATTTTATGAATCGTTTTCCTTCAAATACTAAACAGTTGAATGATTGAATTTATATTTTTTCAACCTTCTGGTGAACGTGGCAACTCTCGTTACAGCGATTCATTTATTCTGTGCTTATCTTCTGTGGTTATCTTCTGTGATTATCTTCTGTGCTTATATTCTGTGCTTATATTCTGTGCTTATATTCTGTGCTTATCTCATTCAAGGGAAATTAGGATTTTCGTGTTGTTATTTTATAAATAATTGCACAAGATATGTTTAGGCTTTGAAAAAAAAAAAACCAACACAATTTAAAGGACTTTTTGGCGGTAATTTATTGCTGGCAATTTATCGGTGGTTATTGTCATCTAATTAAATAACGATGAAAAACAAATGCTGTTCCAGAGAGCTGATTATCTTATAATTTCCAGGGTATACATTTTTTTAAAGAAGCTTTTCCCCACAAATAAACAGATAATGACGTTGTTTGGCACATATTTACGGTTGGATTCATCACCTCTGAGAAAACGATCATTGACAAAAAAAAATTGATTGAAAAGTAGAAAGGTTGTGATTGGGGGGGGGGGCGGGGGCGCGCTAACCCGCTAACCCGCTTAGATACATCCAATAAATAAGAGAGATTTCCATTGACAATCCGTAATGTTTAAATTCGAACACTAATTTCAACACACAAACAAAAACATGGGCTGTGTACAGGATGTCCTGATTTTACAGCGGTTCCAGCATAATCGATTTTACGGGTGGCAGTTCCCTGGCGAAAAAAAATAGACAGCAATTTAATTAATAAAATGTTTCCTTTCAGCGCGCCACGAGTAATTACTATTTCGTCGTGGAAGTTAGTTCGCTAGCTCGTGGAATAATACATGACACATCCTAAATTTTTTTAATATCTTTAATTTGATTTATGCACAAGCATATATTATATTATGTATGTATTTGACTGCATTCCCATACATACATTTAGTTTACGTTTCGGTTGGGTGAATAGCGAGTTCCGGCGGAGTTCAATTTACGCCACCGTTGAAAAAAAAAGGAAACCCCCGTCGTAAGTTGAGGACCTGCTGTAGTTGGACTTGCAGAGGAATCGCAAGGAATGTTGTTTGAATACGTTACGCGTCCACATCTGATTGTTTGACAGAAACACCATGGTCGTAATACATATCAATTGGACCTGTGTAGGTAGAGACCACGTTTAATCGAAGAATACAATTCAGGGTAAGAATTTCAAGGACTGAGAAACATTCATCCGTCCTTGTGGCGATACAGCTCAAATAGCGCTCTGGCCTGCCTCATCACCTCCTTCCGCTCAGACCTAACCGATGCTTTTATTTTCCAAGTTTGCATTCCCTGCTGCTGTAGATTCGTCTCCACATCATCCATCCATCTATGCCGAGGCCTGTCTTCGAGCCGTTCTCGCCTGTGGGTGTTGGTGGTGCACCCTCTTCACTCTTCTCTTATTTCGCATTTCTTCCCAAGTCATATTTAAATAGATGAAATTCCTAAATTAAAAAAAAAGAATTGCGATGTAATTTCTACTTCCTAGAAAATAGAGAAAATTTTTTTTTCTAAAAACGTTTCAACATTTCCCACAAGCTGGACGTCACGCAAACCACGCTGAAGATACCTCATGGTGACTTTTAAGACCGATTCTGAACTGACAAGTCCTATGCTCTGTTATATGAGGCAGAAAAGATAAGGCATCATCCAATGGCGGGCAGCCTGGTTTCTTTTCGCGTGCACGCCTCACCATATCGCCACGCTCGACATTAAGACATTAACGAACGGTGCAGCCTTCGAGCAGAATGCATGCGTTGACAAATATCTTCTGGGGGTGACACGGGAACACGGTCTGCTGTACAGGTCCGTTTCCTCAACACACGCAGCCCACACATTATGCAGCGTTTTCAAAATAGCAATTTAAATGGTAATTGAACAACGGCTCGACAGCACATAATATGGTATTTACACTCACACGGCAACTTCGCCTGCCATACTACATAACGGAATTGAGTGAAACATAGCATGGGAAAATCTGAAAATAAGGGCGCAACGAAACAACGAACGTGTCGACAAGAAGCCTTCATCGTCGAACAAGCATTACTGGAAGAAAAAACTCGGCTGAAATGTAGTGTCATAGAAGAAGGCAAGACAGAGCATCAACAAGACAGAGCATCAACAAGACAGAGCATCAACAAGACAGAGCATCAACAAGACAGAGCATCAACAAGACAGAGCATCAACAAGACAGAGCATCAACAAGACAGAGCATCAACAAGACAGAGCATCAACAAGACAGAGCATCAACAAGACAGAGCATCAACAAGACAGAGCATCAACAAGACAGAGTATCACAAAAAAAAAAAATTACATGCATGTATCGTGCATAAAATTGCTGGTTTCATAAAAAAATGACTGGGTATCATAAACAAAATGGGAGTGTACCATAATACAAAATGTTAAGGTATCATACACAACAATGGGGTATAACAGGGTAAGACAACGATTGGTCAGACAGAAATAGGCGCACAAAGGTCGGGCAAAAATAGTCTCAAGACAAAGTAACTAATCGATCTAATTGTTTATAGCCCCCGTAAATTTTCAATCTCGATCCGATTGGACTTCACGCTACGAGCCTGTCAACGTGGAGTCATCTATTTAATGGCACGTGCTGGCTCGACCCAGCATGCAACAGTGCATGTGATGTGTCATAAAGTGAAACCAATTCATAGGGAACTTTAGGTTACACTTTAAAATCATTTACAGTTAGAGAATATCTCCTAAGTATTTTAAAAGTGTAATTTTAATAACGCTTTTGAACTTAGATTTTTTTTAATGATCTCATCGAGTCTATTATAAGATCGCATCTGAAGTGTCTTAAGGTTAAAATTTTGCTGGATTGTCGCATTATCCTTAACATTGTTTATCAATTTATAGAACTTTTATGCATCGTTATTTTGTTTGAAAGACATATAGCAACGGGCTGTTTTGAATTCCAATGATGCGATTTCCCTGGCTGAAGCCGATTATAACCACGTCTGGTTTGTGTTTTCTAGCTGCGGCAATGTACTGCTGGACGACTACGATAAGAGGTAAGAATGGGAAAAACACAATGTATGCTCTTAACAATAAGCTCTTCCAAAAGGAACAATTGAGGCGACTACTTGACACATTTGCGTCTATTGCCTCTTGTCTTCCAACGCCCAGTTGCTAATACCAATCCCTGAGTAGTCCTTGCAACCAGTATCTCCTTCAAAACTATGCACAGTTACATCGCTAACCCCTCTAAAACATAGGTGCAAGAATGATCAATAAATTCATCGTGGGTCCTCAAAATATAGAAGAAGAAGAAGATTGTTGCATGCCTTTAAAATCATTTGGTTAGATTGCTCCCTTAAAAAATGTTCAGGCTTATCTTAATTCATTAGCACGTCTATCTTCAACAATATGTTTTTTTTCTATCAGATTTTCTAAATAACAAGCACCCGTCAAAAATAATGGATATTTTCATTAATAGAATATTTAAGATTTAAGCTTTAAAAAGCTCACGATTGTCTCCAACCAAGAGGCTTTCAATTTTTTTTTTTTAAAATGGGGATGTAAGCTCTTCAAATGGAGTAATTTGAACTTTCATGGTGTCTACAAGGTTCAAATGGAGTAATTTGAACTTTCATGGTGTCTACAAGGTTCAAATGGAGTAATTTGAACTTTCATGGTGTCTACAAGGTTCAAATGGAGTAATTTGAACTTTCATGGTGTCTACAAGGTTCAAATGGAGTAATTTGAACTTTCATGGTGTCTACAAGGTTCAAATGGAGTAATTTGAACTTTCATGGTGTCTACAAGGTTCAAATGGAGTAATTTGAACTTTCATGGTGTCTACAAGTTTCAAATGGAGTAATTTGAACTTTCATGGTGTCTACAAGGTTCAAATGGAGTAATTTGAACTTTCATGGTGTCTACAAGGTTCAAATGGAGTAATTTGAACTTGCATGGTGTCTACAAGGTTGAAATGGAGTAATTTGAACTTTCATGGTGTCTACAAGGTTCAAATGGAGTAATTTGAACTTTCATGGTGTCTACAAGGTTCAAATGGAGTAATTTGAACTTGCATGGTGTCTACAAGGTTCAAATGG